TTTCAGACCAAGAACCCTAAGTGCAACGAGGGAGAAAGCGAGGAACCGACTGGGATGGACAGCAACGAGAGCGTGTACGAAGCGGAGCGGGTCGAGTTTGGTCGTACTAGGACTGGCCACAGCGGCACCGGAGCAGCGGCGCCGGAGCAGCGGCTTTGGACCACGCTGACGGCATCGAACCGTGGCGCACGGACAAACATCTCTTGTGTTGTCAATTTTTTTCCGTTTTTTTCCTGAATACAGGTGTTGGGTGTGTGTGATGACGTCACTGGTTGTGTAGAGAGACGCGGCAGAGATGGCGCGGATAACCCGGGTGCCTTCATGGTGTACCTGCATCATGGAAGACCCCTTCAATGTGGAACGATTCCTAGTCAGTGTCGATGTTTACACTGCTGTGCCTAACACAGATGATCTGGATAGATTCGGGTGATTGTCAATTGCAATGATGGCTTTGGTTGGGTGTTTTTCATTGAATGTCCACGGACTCATTCTGACAGCACTTCAGACAGCAGCAGTACGCTGTATTTAGTCGACAAATATTCATTTTGGTTAAATGCGGGACAAGGGGGGTAATGATGCTGCTGTAGTCGAATTGCAGTGTGTGGGCGTGTAGTTCAGTTGTGAGCATGTAAACGTGCTGCAGGGATTGCAGGTGTACCTCCTCGGGCTTGTGTACCCTNCACTGGTTGTGTAGAGAGACGCGGCAGAGATGGCGCGGATAACCCGGGTGCCTTCATGGTGTACCTGCATCATGGAAGACCCCTTCAATGTGGAACGATTCCTAGTCAGTGTCGATGTTTACACTGCTGTGCCTAACACAGATGATCTGGATAGATTCGGGTTATTGTCAATTGCAATGATGGCTTTGGTTGGGTGTTTTTCATTGAATGTCCACGGACTCATTCTGACAGCACTTCAGACAGCAGCAGTACGCTGTATTTAGTCGACAAATATTCATTTTGGTTAAATGCGGGACAAGGGGGGTAATGATGCTGCTGTAGTCGAATTGCAGTGTGTGGGCGTGTAGTTCAGTTGTGAGCATGTAAACGTGCTGCAGGGATTGCAGGTGTACCTCCTCGGGCTTGTGTACCCTTTTCTTGCTAATAGTGTGTGTGTTCTTTAGATCTTCTGATGGCTCTAGCATTTTTGTGTCCACGGACCGAGTCTTTGCTAGATTTTGGCATGAGCAACTGACACGAGTTTAATGTGAAGCAAACCAACCACAACAAACAACAATCCACAGACTGGGGAGGCCCCGGCCTCGCCCGCGTACACACGGCACCCTTCCGAAACTGGTCGCCTTTCGACGACCGAAACCGCACCTCGACTCTGTCGGCCTCTCCCCTCCGTTCATGAGGCAACTAATGAGAACCCGAAAAAAACGCCACGCCCCCCCGATGCAACCCATGACAAGAATCCATGACCAACGAGGACCCAGCAAACATTTCACATGCCCGCATCAAGAAGAAATATTGACGCACTCCACGCCAGAAATAACACGCGCCCACCCGTGCCCCACGGTGGCACCAGACGCCCTCCTTCCTTCAGCATCGACCACAAAACCGGACGTCGCACCCGTTGCTGCACACCTACACCGCATGCCCTCGTGCCACCCCTTTGAGCGCCTGCTTGATCAATGAATGGCATCTATCCACTTCCATCGCATACGACAAGCGGTGAAAAAAATTAACAGCAGACACATGACCAGCTATCGTCGTCTGCCTCAAGCCCAACACCGTGAACGCGTACGCAACGTACTCCAACAATTGCGAAACAATGTCCGGCGATGGAGGCGACGGCACTATAAACGCCGGTCTCCCCACGACGTCCTCTCGAAACTTCACCCACCCTCCAGAAAAATCCCACGTAAGCTTGTTCAGACGACGGCGCAAGTGCGTGCCGGACGAGCTCGAAGCCAGCACGGTGGAGCACAACTCGCGCACCTTCGGGCCTAACTCCACGATCTGCCACGCCACATGAGGGGAGGCAGCGTGCAGGTTATCATGAACATCGTTAGTATTCCAACGTGAGATACCATCAGCAAGCGAGTTGAGTATGCCGGGAACATGGGTCGCGTGAAAATGCCACCAGTTGGCTACCTCAAGCGCCCCCAGTAGGCGCACCAGCGCCCCCGATCGAGGCTCAATGCCCCCCCGACAACGCTCAATCCACGCCGTCGCTGCTTTGTTGTGTCCTCACAGTCGCACACAATCACCCGCCTCCACAGGCTGGTAACTTTTGACCCAACACCAACGCCCACACCCCCATGACCATGCCCAGGAGCTCTAGCACGTTAATGCTGACATCATTGACCCCCTGGACCGACTTGCTCGACCCCACAAGGCAAGCTTGCTCATCCACAGACAGATCATACCGAAAGTGGCGGCCCGCAAACAATACCCTCCAATTGCTTGCTTAGACGCATCGGTGAACACGGATNAAAATGCCACCAGTTGGCTACCTCAAGCGCCCCCAGTAGGCGCACCAGCGCCCCCGATCGAGGCTCAATGCCCCCCCGACAACGCTCAATCCACGCCGTCGCTGCTTTGTTGTGTCCTCACAGTCGCACACAATCACCCGCCTCCACAGGCTGGTAACTTTTGACCCAACACCAACGCCCACACCCCCATGACCATGCCCAGGAGCTCTAGCACGTTAATGCTGACATCATTGACCCCCTGGACCGACTTGCTCGACCCCACAAGGCAAGCTTGCTCATCCACAGACAGATCATACCGAAAGTGGCGGCCCGCAAACAATACCCTCCAATTGCTTGCTTAGACGCATCGGTGAACACGGATAGTTTGGGTGGGCGTTCCAAAATGTTGTACATGGGCGCTCAACTGCAACGAGAGACTACGCCCGTGCAACCACCGCCAAAATTCGAGGTCATCGTGAATACTGGACCCAGCACTACACGTCTGTTCGGGCTCGGCACTTGGGACGCGAAAGCAGACGAAGCAGGCATCCCTACCGCGGACAAAAGGCGCCCCACAAAAAACGTTCCTGGCCGCAACACGAATGAAACGTGCATGAGAAGCCCTGTCGACTCGGCTACTTGACGAGCTGTAGCGACTCTCCGCGTCGCGGGCCACGCAGTCAAAATCAGTCCCAGTTTCTGCTGTTTCGTGTTGGTCATGGTGATCGTGAGTTGCTGAGTGTCCAATGTCCAGCCAAACACATCCAAACGAGTAGCGAAATCGGTGATCTGTCCTTGCGGCAACAACGGCGGGTCTGCTGGTCCTCTCTCTCCCAGCAGACGAAAGTGATCCGTAGCGAGAGAACTCACCGCGCGCAAACATCGGCAACCATCAGCGAAAAATCTCCCTTCAATCAACACGCCATCATCAACGTAGTATCGCACAAAAAACGGAGAACCAGGAAACGCCCCGTCACCCACAATAGTCTGGCAATCAAGAGGTAACGGCACCGCGGTACTTTCGTCTGGTGGGGACACTACTTGAACATCCTGCACAGCCGCAGCACAGGCGGGAGAGACGGACGCTTCCTGAAATGTGGTGTGTGTGTGAGTGTTCCAAGGCGGACGAGAACAAGGACCAAAACCCTGGGCTCGATCGCCATCTAAATTGACACCGAAGGTCAACAACCACGTGATCTCAGATCGTGTACCCAATAACCGATGCCCGAGACGGATCCACCGGGATTTGTCGGAAGGCTTCTTTCACATCAATGCGGCAGATCAGAATTTCCAACGACACCCCGTGTGCTTGTCGCAAATACAGCACCCGCTTCAGAATGTCACTCAACACATGACCCAAGAGGCATTCAGGTGCTTGATCGAAGTCCGTATCGTGATTACGCTCGTACGGATTGGCACGCCAGAGGTGAAAGTGAGATCGTGAATAATTCTGAACTTCGGTTCGTCCATTACGCCCAACGGCGACACTCTGATTCCTAAGATTTCTCGGATGAACTGAACATCGAAAATTGCGATGGTGCGCCGACTGCAGCGCTCTTCTCCTGCGTTATCTCGGACGCCAGTTCAACCCGATGTGACGTCACGACGGTGGTGGTGCAGTTGTACATAGCAGCAGTTGAACCAAAAGTGTATATCATGCTGTACCTACAGACAACACCGACGAACATTGTCCGGTGAACATATGCTGTTGTGCACGACAGCAGGGCGGCCGGGTGCAGATTTTTTTCGGGTTGGAGAGCACGGCGGGTGGTCACCAACCGCGTCTCGTCAACGACATGCCCAGGAGGCGGCATGCAGCTCCATACACAAATACAATATGCGCCTGGTTCCTCCGCCTAATGCACTCTACACAACAGCAGCAGCAGCAGTCCCCTCCTTGTTGGTTGTGGACAGAGCATCTGTACTGCTGTACGATTTGAGTAACATGTTTGAGCCCGACCGTGCGAACACGGCCAGCGGTCACCAAGCGAGTCGTGTCGGGCATGCCCCAGAGACGGCATGCAGCTGGCAACAGGAGGAATAGAAAAATGTTGTCTACAGCAATTGTCCCTCCGCTACATACAGAATGTTCAACTCTCCACCCACAGCAGCTCCCCTTCTTGGTTATAGGCCAGAGTCTGCACTCGTACGAACCCAATATGCCGTCAGCCTACCTTGTGCTCCACTGGGTGGCTTTGCCGACCTGCTGCATCGCAGCCAGAAGTGGTGAACCAGTCCTTGCTCTTCACCAACGCCACGAGCCGCAGAAAGAAGCTGTAGGGCACGCGGAAGTCAAGGCGAAACTGCTTGGAGGTTATGCTGTTGCTGTCCTCGAGGTCCTTATCCTCCAACATCTGTGCCCAAGCGCATTTCTCCACGTCTTTCCTCTTTCGCTGTCCTCTTGAGAGTTTAGGGCGGGGAAGGTCGGGCGAACGATCCTCCTCCTCTTCTTGCGATAAGTCGTTCGTTGGACCTTATCAAGGGCGACCAAGGCCACAGCAAGAGCGGTTGCTGGTAGCAGGGCATCACCCACACCGGTTTCGGCCATCGGAAGAGAGCCCAGGCTGCTGATGTAGGGTGGAGTCAAGCGAGTGGCACTCCCNCTCTTTCGCTGTCCTCTTGAAAGTTTAGGGCGGGGAAGGTCGGGCGAACGATCCTCCTCCTCTTCTTGCGATAAGTCGTTCGTTGGACCTTATCAAGGGCGACCAAGGCCACAGCAAGAGCGGTTGCTGGTAGCAGGGCATCACCCACACCGGTTTCGGCCATCGGAAGAGAGCCCAGGCTGCTGATGTAGGGTGGAGTCAAGCGAGTGGCGCTCCCGGCGCAAGCGAGGAGTGCCAGCGATGGCAGCCACTTCCACATTGGCGATGCTTGTGTGTGTGTGCCAGCAACGTCGGCGCGTGATTCGAATACATGACAACCTTTTTTGACAAGCGCATCCTGTCAAAAAGTTGCCCAAAACATGACAGGATAGGCTGTCAAAAAAGGTTCGTCATTTTTTCGTTGTCATATTTTAGCAAAAGAAGACGTTGTAACACGGGGTTATTTGGCCAGTTGTCATTTTTTGAAAAAAAGACAGCCTGAAAAAAGACATCGTAACAAATGGCCTAAATGACAGGATAGGCTGTCACAAAACGTTCGTCATTTTTTCGTTGAAATATTTTTGCAAAAAAAAGACGCTGTAACACGGGGCTATTTGGCCAGTTGTCATTTTTTGAAAACAAGACAGCGTAAAAAAAGGCATCGTAACAGATGGCCTAACCTCTCGTGTCAAAATTCTGACGTCTCGTGTCAAAATACTGGTCTCGTATCAAATCGTGCTCGTGTCAAAATTCCTGACACACACACGTGGGACCCATGCATTATACAATATACATCTAAGGTTCGTGCCTAGAGTTCAGCTGTAGTGTTTCAACCAAAGTTTTGTTGACTTAGCGGCAAACATTCCTAGCTATTGGGCATCGAGTTAATTTGGCTTGGCATGACGGCCTTTACGATCGACTTTTTATCTATGTCTGCATTTATCTGCAATTGTCGGAGGGCAAACAAAATCATAAAAAAATACAATGTACAGAACCGGCCCGCACTTAAGAATATGGACGTTAAGAATTTGAGCCTCAAAAAATCAAATTTTTAAGAATTTGCCCGTGAGAACACGTGCTCAGATCGGACCTGCTGTTAAGAATAAGAACCTCCGGTGAGGTGTACGACTGGTGCTACAGAAAAGAACATACTACATGACGCGGCGGTGGCGAGAGAAGAACATACACAGATGGAGGAGGAGGAGGGGGGGGG